CCCAGATAGCTTGTCAGCTCACCCATGTCAGTGCAGATGTGTCTCTTCTGCAGCTCCGACTTCACGTGGGCGAGTGCCTCAGTGTCAGCAGTAGCAAAGACGAGGTCGTCTATGTACACGAGAACGTAGAACGGCGGCAGAGTAGTGTCAGTGCGTAAAAATAGAGAAGGGTCAGCAGTGGAAGGAGCAAAACCAAGAGCAGCAAGAGTCGTCCTGAGTCTGTCGTGCCACTCACGGGGTGCCTGACGGAGACCGTAGACTGGCCGCCTGAGGCTCCACTGGGTACCAGCTGGAAAGGACCCAGCGAAGCCAGGTGGGCGGCGCAGCCAGATCTCCTCGTGCAGGCTGCCCTGTAGGAAGGCTGTGCTGAAGTCAAGCGAGTGGAGCTCGTAGTCACGCTGAGCAGCTACGTGCAGCAGTACCCAAAGAGTGGTCATCTTCGGGGTAGGGGAGAAGGTTTGGAAGAAGTCAACTCCCTGTCGCTGACTGAAGCCACGTGCAACGTAACGCGCCTTGAAGACAGGGAGAACCCGGCGGCCGCTTCACCCTGAAGATCCACATGCCACTGACGATGTTCGCCCCAGGCGGGGGAACCTCGTTGACGTAGGTGCCTGTGGACTTCCAGGAAGCCATCTCGGCGTCCATGGCTGCCTGCCACTAAGAGGAGTAGGGACCCTCTATCGCCTCTGCATAAGAGCGCGGGGTCGGGATGTCTGGTGCATCCGGGTCTCCCTCAGGGGCAATCAGCATGGACACGAGATGAGGTACAGAAGCGGCAAAGCACTCAAACTCCTCCTGTCTATCCTCAAGAACGTCCGTGCCAAGAGCACACTCACCCCTGACGGACGGAGGACAGACAGACGCAGACGCTGACTCAGCAACAAGACTAGTGGCGTAGTCTAGGCGACAGGCTGCAGCAAAGTCAACAAGCTCAGTAACAAGAGCAGACGCAGCAGTGGACTCAAACAAAGGGTCAGTGACAGCAGTGGCCAGAAAGCGCGTGACAGCTGGACTAGCAGCACGGAGGGAGTCAGACGCAGGGTCCGGACCGGCAGGAAGAGAGGACGCAGGAGGAGACGGCAGAGGGACACGCTGTGGAGCAGTGGAAGGACGCAGAGTCATAGAGTGAGTGCCAGGGAGAGGAGGAGGACGCGGACGCGAAACACGACTAGCGCGAGCAGTGCGGACAGGCGACGCAGAACGAGACTCAGGCGACACAGGATGAGACTCAGGCTCACGACGCTCCGTAAGACCTCTAGTCGGTCCAGAGTAGGGAGAAGGACCAGGCAGTGGAGAGGCCGGCTGCAACTGCGACTGGGACTGGACAGGCGGTGGACTCAGGAAAGGAGGAGGAGGACCAGGAGAAGTTGGGGAGCCAAGAACCTGCTGAAGGAGCGGAACGTAGTACGGCCGTGGCCGCGCAACGCTTCCAGAAACAGCAGAGACAAAACCGGTACCCTCAGCCCCAGGGTCTCCAGCACCAGCAGCACCTCCAGCAGCTCCAGTACCAGCAGCACCTCCAGCAGCTCCAGCACTAGCAGCACCTCCAGCAGCTCCAGCACCAGTAGCACCTCCAGTAGCTCCAGCACCAGCAGCACCTCCAGCAGCTCCAGCACCAGCAGCACCTCCAGCAGCTCGAGCATAAGTAGCACCTCCAGTAGCTCCAGCACCAGCAGCACCTCCAGCAGCTCCAGTACCAGCAGCACCTCCAGCAGCTCCAGCACCAGCAGCACCTCCAGTAGCTCCAGCACCAGCAGCACCTCCAGCAGCTCCAGTACCAGCAGCACCTCCAGTAGCTCCAGCACCAGCAGCACCTCCAGCAGCACCAGCACCAGCAGCACCTCCAGCACCAGCAGCACCTCCAGAGGCTCCAGCAGCACCTCCAGCACTAGCATCACCTCCAGCAGCTCTAGCAGCTCCACCAGCAGCAGCAGTACCTCGACAGCGCCGAGAGTACCACTCACGAAGCTGCTGTGGAGAGAGAGGCTCCCGCCGCGACGGGACACCTAGAGCACCTCCAGACTCAGCACGCACAGGCTCAGCACCCCCAGACTCAGCACCCCCAGGCTCCACACGCACAGGGTCAGCACCCCCATTCCCCGCACCCCCAGTCCCCGCACCCGCAGGCTCAGCACCCCTAGCAGCACCTGAGTCGACAGCTACCTCGACCGGCTCGGTAGGGTCTACCTGGGACACACCTGAGGGGGTAGGACCCTGGGGGGGGAGGGGGTCTACCGGGGGAGTACCTGGTGCTAGGAAGAGCGGCGGGGGGGGGGGAGAGGCAGTGCGGTAGGGAAAGAGACGGTAGTACGACACCGACTCGTCAAACGTGACGTCCTGAGAGGACAGAACACGACGCGAGGTGGGGTGGTAGAACTGTCACCCGGGTGCGTCAGGAGGGAAGCCAAGGAAGACACAGGGAACGGCACGGGAGGACAGCTTGTCCGCTGTAGTATCGCGGACAAAAGCTCGAGATCCCCAGACACGGAACGCGGACGCATCGCCAACCTTCCCCGTCCACCGCAGAGTAGGTGTGGTCTCCGGCAAGGAGACACGAGGCTGAAGGTTGATCTGATGCGCAGCGTACTGAACCGCGAACGGCCACAGAAAATGGGGAGCAGCCGCATGGATCATGGACGTACGAGCAACGTCCATGACCATGCCAATGCGGCGCTCAGCAATCCCATTTTGCTGCGGTGAGGCCGGAAGCGTGAACGTCTAGCGGATGCCTGTGGACTTACAGGAAGCCAGAGTAGCAGTAGTAGCAGGAGTAGCAGCAGTAGCAGGGCGACAGCAGCAGCAGTAGCAGCGCGACTCGGCAGGGCGGGGCAGCGCAGGTGCAGCAGCAAGCAGGTGTGGCGGTGCACTTACCAGCGGCGGACGAGGTGGGCCGCTACTGGTGGGGCTGGGCCGGGGCGCGTCAGGCAGGGCGGCTGCAGGCTTGTCAGCGGCAGCAGGGCCGCTACAGTGGCAGCTGCTGCTGCAGTAGGGACGGCGACGGCAGCTGCTGCAGGGGTGGCGACGAGGCAGGGGCTACGTCGCGGGCAGGGACGACGCCTCGGGCAGGGGCGACGCCGCGGGCAGGGGCGACGCCGCGGGCAGGGGGCGACGCCGCGCGCAGGGGGCGACGCCGCGAGCAGAGGCGACGCCGCGCGGGCAGGGGCGACGTCGCAGGCAGGGGCGACGCCGCGGGCAGGGGGCGACGCCGCGAGTAGGGGCGACGCCTCGTGGGTCCCGCAGGGGCGTCGCGACGAGGCAGGGTGGCGACGGGGCGGGGCGGGGCCGCCGCGGGCGATGGGGCGAGGCCGAGAAGGGGCCGCGAATGGGCCGCTGAGAGGCCGTGATGGGGCCACTAAGGGGCCGCGAGGGGGCCGCTAAGGGGCCGCTAAGGGGCCGCGAAGGGGCCGCGAGGGGGCCGGGCAGGCCGCGAGGGGGGGGCCGCTAAGGGGCCGCGAAGGGGGCCGGGCAGGCCGCTAGGGGGGCGCGAGGGGGCCGCTAAGGGGCCGCGAAGGGGCCGCTAAGGGGCCGCGAAGGGGCCGCTAAGGGGCCGCGAGGGGGCCGGGCAGGCCGCTAAGGGGCCGCGAAAGCTTAGGGCAGGGCAGAGCGCGAAGCGCGCTTCGGGCAGGTTAGGAAAAAAAAATGTAACGTGGTGGGCCCTTAGGAAGAAACGGTCCCACTAGGGAACCCACTCTATACCATGTGAGAATAAACGAGAGGAATGGGATGAACTAGGCAGCAGGTGGGTACAAGTATGAAACACAAAAGTGTTGTACCCTCTAAGAACTACCCCACTACAGCCTAAACAGACTATAGCATATATAAGTTTGACAACATGAGGTGCAGCCTCTCTTTCCGTGAAGCTTGATATTCCCGCAGCTGCAGATCCATCGCCGCCAACTTCTTGCTGGTTGCCTTGCAGGTCGGAATGCGCATCGCCTCTTCACGAAGTTCCGCGACAATGTCAACAAGGTGTGACACCGTGGCCTTGACGCGCTTGCCTTCCTCTCTCGTGAAAGCTCGAAGATCCACCGCCAATCACGATAGAAGGAGTTTGAAGTTGCTACCGTCCGTGACGTCAACCTTTTCCACCGTCACTTCCACGATCTTCCTCACCCCCCTTTTGTGCACCATTGACGCATAGAGTCTCCAAAGGCCTGGACCCATGCAGATCTTAGCATCCAACCAAAGAGCGATCCGGATGGCAAACCCGTGGTCAGAAATGTAATCTGCCGGCATCACATGAGACGCCTGAATCAGATGAGGTAAGAGGGAATGAGAGAGAAGAGCGTGGTCAATGCGTGTGCTGGCTTATTGGGCTTGCGAAAAGAAAGTGAACTCGCGTTTTTCCAGATAGAGTGTCTGAAAAGCATCAGAGAGTTGGAACTGCTTGCAGCGAGAGTAGAGCTTGTCGTTCTCTGCTGTGGAGCCGAATCGAGAGGACTTATCTAACACCGGATCTTCTATGATGTTAAGGTCGCCGATGATAAGCAGATGACTTGTTGGTGGGAGTTGATCTACGACCGGACCTAGCTTATCGCAGGGGAACGTCACGCGGGAGGTCGCCTTCGCCGGAAAATAGCATGCTAAGACTGTGAGCTGTAAGCCGGGACCATAGACCTTGGCCGACGGATGCACTAACGCGTTGTGGAAACTGAGGTTCGGCGACCTACGGATCAAGGCTACCCTGTCGGCCTTTGATCTAGGTGAGGCTGCTGCTACGAGACTAAAGGTAGGATGCGACCAGAACGGGTGATCTGAGTCTAGCCTAGTGTCTGATAGTGCTACTATGTCTGCTGCTTGTCTTGACCAGTCAATAACTCGCCGCTGTTTGGTTTTGTCACCTAGGCCGTTGACGTTAAGGCCCGTGAAACTGATGAGGCTTTTTTTACTCATTTAGTAACAGCTTGAAAACCCCTACGCATCCACAGGGTAAGAAGTGACACCGACTACCGTGAAGACTACCACTGCCGCTGCTGACTGACTACCCAGCTGAACAAGTCTCAGATCCCGTACTCTTTCCTGGTGATATCGAGGCTGGCCTTCTCAAGTGAGGCACGAGTAGCAGAACCAAGCTGCTCCAGATGAATGAGATGGTTGGCAGACGTGATGTGATCGGCCGCAGTCATGAAGCTCTTCCCCTTTGATTTCCCACAGCCCACTTGCGTGCAGATCCATTCCTTGCGGTTGCCTCCCATAGAGATCAACACCGTGGCTGGATCCAGCAGAATGGGAGTGATGAACGGCGAGGCAGGAAGGGAAGCGGTTGCACGGTACAACTTGGAAGTTAGCACAAGCACAGACGCAACGGTGAGCATGATCATGATGACAAGAGCAGTTACCATTAATACGATGAACCCTCCCCAAGGTAAGGTTCCACTTTCCTATGTTGTTTTGCCGCTCTGTAGTGAAAGCGTCATGATTAACATCATAATGCTGTCCACCGCAGAGCAGGCAGCACAGCGCAGGGAAGTGGACCATATACCGACAACCAAGCTCCAACGGATCTTCGAAGACATGACGCCAACGGTGCCTGTCGCCAGGGTGAGGGACCACCAGTCCCTTGATGACGTCAGTATCAGTGCCAGTGTCCGGATGCAGGACGCGGTAAAAGCAGACGCCATCCTTAAACGCGGATTGCTTCCTGTTCCGCAACTGGTAGACCACCATCAGCTCCCGCAGCATCTATGGCGTCTTCGTCGCAGGTACGTCGCGAATCACCACCTCAATCACGTGAGGGTTCGTCGCTCGTTCACGCACGAAAGCTGGGTCATCAGTGTGTTGCCAATAGAGCTGAAACACCATACCGTTGGGTCGCGTGTAATCCACTTCCTTAGATCTGATGCTCATGATGTCGTCTTCTCGCAGGAGGGAGACTTGCAGACGGCTGTAGCGAGTCTTCGCCACGTACGCCGGGAGGAGCTCCTGGAACTTTGCCATTTTGTAGGCTCCATCTGAAAGCATGGACGACCAGACACGCTTCAACAGCGTCCGCACCGTGGTGATGACTGACGCCACTTCCAGCGCAAGAGCCACAGGTAACAGCAGGATCGCAGTATAGCGAATGCTGTGAAATGATTCAGTCTTGACCTCGACTTCAAGCTCTTTGTCAGAGTCATCCTCAATGAAGCCACTGTCAGGAACGGTCGTACGAAGCGAGCGCAACTTTTCTTCCAAAGAGATGCCAGATCCGCTTGCAGGCGCGTCTGTGAGAGTCACATTGTTGGAAACATCCGGTGCCTTGCCCTTGTCCTTGCTTGCAGGAATGAAGGTAGCAGGAGCAGGCGACGAGAGAGGAGCATCCGGTGACGTTGCCTCCGGCAGAGCCTTGGACTTCCCCTTAGGAGGCATTGTGCAATGATGAAGAGTAAAAGGCTGCAGGGCTGAGAAACAGATTGTTGATGATTGAATTGACGCCATTGCTCTGAGCACAGGCTTGATAAGTAGGCGAAGTCCATAGGTACTGGACCACTGCTCTTGGCGTTGATGGTGAGAAACCGAGGTTGAAGCCTTGGGATCTCGGTTGACAATAGGCGTGATAAAACCATCGTAGTCATTGTAGCTGTTAACAATGCGTAAAACAGAGACTCAAAGCCTTGGAGTTAGCAGCAAACCAAAAGGAACCTTGAAGTTAGTTGCCTGACAAGAAACCGGATCTCGTGTAGCAACCGATACGATGCATGGCGTGTAGACACAAGAAGAGTATCGACCGATTCGCCTTGTAACGAGGAATCCAGATCTGAGGTCTTTAAAGCCAACTGACACGGAACCTTCACGGGATCGGGGGTTGAAACTGCGCGGTAATATTTATGGCGGCCTTGTCATTGACATTCGTACGCGCAATCTCACCTTCGCATGTGCTCGGCTGTCACGCCCCCTGCACGTACATCGAGTCGTCTGACTCACACTACCAGAATCAGAGTGTGGGCGAACAAGGGTACAGAATCGCTCCTGCCCACTACAACAATTTTCTCTCAAGAGTGGGAGTTTCGCTTGCGCAAGAATTCGTGCACGACGATTGACGAGAGAACCAGTTTACTCGGTTTCCATGCAATCGGAGCACTATAGAAATTTGGGTCAGGGGCGGTTATGTCCGCGCACTCGAACGCAAAGACATTATGGACTCGACCGCCCTGGATTCGTTTTTAGGTACAATGAGCTTTTTAGATGTACGAAACGTGAAAAGGGTACTAAATGACCCCAAATGTACGCGCTGGACACGCCCTAAAATTCCGACGTTTTGGGTCTGAGGACTGCTTGTAGCGAAATAAGTTACCCGACGATTTTCTCGACGTTCGGTCGTCCAGACCATGAACAAATGTTGAACGCCTTATTGCAGCGACATCACCTCTCTCCACTGGGTGTGCTATCTTGGATCTTTCGGATGAGAGCAAGGATCTGTGTACACCCCGTTTCTTGCTACATTGAACTGTGCGGAACTGGCTTGCATACCTTGTTTTATTCGATTTGCCTGATCGAACCAAACTGAAACGCATTTTAACATGTTTTAACCGTGCTTTTCTCATCTTGACTCCACTATACCGGAATGTCAAACTTATATATAGCTTACATTGTGTAGGCAGTAGTGGGGTAGCCCATAAGGGGTACAACCCAATTAGGGTTAGTACTTGTACCCAACTCTTTGCTAGTTCATTCATTCTCGTTCATTCTTCTGACATGGTTTCAGAGCAGGTCCTCCGCTAGGACTGTTTTTTTTTCCTTGGGCCCACCACAGCGCTACCCCGCTAGCCGCCCTCTATAGCCCTCGCGCTGCCCCTATTGCCTGTCGCGACTGTTAGGCCCCTAGGCCCGTCGCTCCGCGGCCCGTCGCCCCTCGGCCCTTCGCCCTAAGGCCCCGTCGCCCCGCGGCCCGTCGCCCCTAGGCCCCGTCGCCCTCGGCCCCGTCGCCCCTCGGCCCTACGCCCTAGGCCCCGTCGCCCCGCGGCCCCCGACACCCTAGGCCCCGTCGCCCCGCGGCCCGTCGCCCTAGGCCCCGTCGCCCTCGGCCCTGTCGCCCTAGGCCCGTCGCCCAAGGCCCTGTTGCCCCGCGGCCCTGGGCCTTCGATTCTGGCCCCCTGGCCTTGCGGCCCGTCGCCCCCAGGCCCCAGGCCCCTCGGCCCCTTCGTTCCTGGCCTCGCGGCCTGTCGCTAGGCCCCCGGCCCCTCGCCCCCCCCCTTCATTCCTGGCCCCGCGGCCCAACGCCCCTAGGCCCCCGGCCCCTCGCCCCCCCCCCCCCCCCCCCCCTTTGTTCCTGGCCGCGCGGCCCGTCGCCCCTAGGCCCCCCCGGCCCGTCGCCCCTACGCCCCCCGGCCCCTCGGCCCCTCTGCTACTGCTGCTACTACTGCTGCTACTGCTGCTGCTACTGCTGCTACTGCTACTGCTGCTACTGCTGCTCCTGCGTGCTGCGCCACTATGGCTTCGCTTCGAGCTCTCACGTTCGATCATGAGGGCAGACCGATTCAGTTTGACACGTGGCTCGACGACCTGCAGCTGTACCTATTGAGCGATTCTAAGGACAGTGTTTCGCTGTTTGACCTCGCGTCAGGCGCCGCTACCGCCCCTCCCGCCACAGCTGACAGTGCGACTTACTCACAGTGGCTTACTCGCGACACTGCTGCCCTCTTAGCCATTCGCAACCACCTGCCGTTAGCCGAATGCGCTCATTTCGGACAGCACAGGACAACACAGGCACTGTACGACATTGTAAACGCTCGCTACTCCTCGCCTGCCACTGCCGCTCTAGGCTGCCTGCTTCTGCCCTACCTGTTCCTCGAGCTGTCCGCCTTTGCCACGGTAGAGGACCTGGTTTCCCACCTCCGCACTAGCGACGCTCGCTACCGCGCTACCGTCCATGCTGAGTTCCTTGACAGGAACCAGCCCCCGATGCTCATCACTCTCTAATTCATACTCACCCGCCTCCCTGACTCTCTTCGCTCTGTTAGGGACCACTTTCTCTCTCTTGACCCCACCTCCCTCACTGTTGACCTACTCGAGGAGCACATCCTAGCAGCTGAGACTAGTGCAGTAGCTGTAGGTGCTGCTCGTGGCACTCCGCGCACGCCCTTCTTTGAGGGGTGCTCCCCCTCCCCCCTTGCCCCCTCCTACGCCTCTGCTGCTGCTGCTGACGTCCCTGGTAATGAGGACGTCGGAGCTGCTTCTGCTAGTGTGAAGCGCCGCAGCGGCAAGGGCAAGGGTGACAGGAGTGGTGGCGGTGGCAGCGGGGGTGGTGGTGGGGGCAGCAGTGGAGGTGGTGGTGGCAGTGGAGGTGGTGGCAGCGGTGGGAGTGGTGGAGGGAGTGCGGGCGTTGGTGGCGGCGGTGGAGGCAGCAGTGGGAGTGGCGGTAGTGGCAGCGGTGGGAGTGGTGGCGGTAGGACTGGAGCTCAGCGTGGAGGTTATGGAGGAGGCCAGCGGCAGCGGCAGCAGCGACGGAGCGAGACCCCTTCGCCCCAGCAGCTTCGTGAGTGGTTGTTTCAGCGTGGGGCGTCTGGGGGTAGTGTGAGCTGCCCGTATGTCATTCGCACGGGTAACCGTGCTGGTCAGACATGCGGCAAGGCCCACACACAGCAACCCTGCTTCTTCCGTCTCGACGATGCATGGCGTGCTGAGTTTGGTGACGAGGTCGAGCGCCCCCACTGGGCAGAGCTGCTTAGGTCTGGTGTTGCGATCTTTGACCTAGACTATGATGCTATTCTTTCTGCTATGTATGCTTTGTCTGTTAGTGCTGAGGGTGACTGTTATCGGTGTGTGCCGCCTGACCCAGGTATAGACGCTGCTGCTCTAGGTGCTAGTGAGTCTGTTCTCCCTGGTACTGCGCCTGCTGAGGCCTTGCACACCTTCACACTGGACTCAGGTGCCTCACGCTGTTTCTTTCGCGACAGCACCACTCTCACTCCTCTCCCTGCACCTGTCCCGGTCCGACTGGCTGACCCCTCCGGGGGCCCGGTCGTTGCCCGTTCCTCCACTGCCCTCCCGTGTCCGGCGGATCCGTCCGGCTCACTGTCAGGTCTTCACCTCCCCTCGTTCTCTACGAACTTGGTGAGTACCGCTGCCCTCCAGGACGCGATGGTCACTACCACCACTCCTGGGGGTCAGCGTGTGTCAATCTGCACGTGTACACGGACGGGGCGTCACCTGGCCACGTTCACGCGTCGGCGAGGGTCGAGTCTATACACACTGGCTACCGAGCCTCCTCAGATAGTTGCGTCTGCTCAGGTGTCCGCGTCAGGTCGGATAGCCGCCTCTTGCTCGTGTCGCCTCCTGTCGCACCAGACTCTTGTGTCGCACCACCGCCTGGGTCACCCCTCCCTGCCACACCTTCGTGGCATGATCCCCCGCCTCCTTGTCTCTGGTCTACCCAGGTCTCTGCCTCCCCTCCCGCCCTCGCCTGCCCCGCCCTGCCTTCCTTGCGTCGAGGGGCGGCAGCACGCCGCTCCTCACTCCTCCTCGTTTCCCCCGACGACTGCTCCCCTGCAGACTCTCCACATGGACGTGAAGGGCCCAGCTCGCGTCAGTGGACAAGGCCGCGAGCGCTACTTTCTGCTGGTTGTTGACGACTACACGCGGTACACGACGGTCTTCCCCTTGTGCAACAAGGGTCAGGTCGTTGATGTCTTGATCCCTTGGATCCGTGCAGTCCGTCTCGAGCTCCGCGAGCGGTTCCATACGGACCTTCTTGTCCTGCGTCTGCACTCTGACAGATGTGGTGAGTTCTCCTCCGACCTCTTGCGGGACTTTTGTCGTGGGGAGGGCATTCTCCAGTCGTTCACGCTTCTGGACTCCCCTTAGCTAAATGGGATTGCTGAGCGCCGCATTGGATTGATCATGGAGGTCGCTCGTACCTCCATGATCCATGCGGCTGCTCCCCATTTTCTATGGCCGTTGCAGTCGGGTACGCTGCGCATCAGCTCAACCTCTGGCCCCGTGTCTCCTTGCCGGAGACCTCGCCCACACTCCGTTTGACGGGGGAGGTTGGCGATGCGTCGGTGTTCCGGATCTAGGGTTCTCGTGCCTTTGTTCGCGATATGTCCGCGGACAAGCTCTCCGCCCGTGCTATCCCCTGCGTCTTCCTTGGCTTTGTCCCTGACGCGTCTGGCTGGCAGTTTTACCACCCCACCTCGCGCCGTGTCCTCCCTTCTCAGGACGTCACGTTTGACGAGTCGGTTCCCTTTTACCATCTCTTCCCCTACCGCTCTGCCCCTCCCCCGCCCCCGTTGCTCTTCCTTGCTCCCGGTCCCCCTCCGATAAACCCCCTCCCGCCCCAGGGTCCTGCTCCCTCAGGTGTGTCTCAGGTAGACCCTCTCCCTGGTACTGTGCCTGTCGAGGTAGCTGTCGCTCAGGTGCTGCTCGAGGTG